GAGGTGATAGGTTGAAGGGATTTCTCTCATTGCGTGTATCCATGGAGTTCCCATGATCATGTTGTAGATCGCTGGGTGGTCGGTGAGTGAGAACTCGACAATCTTAGTGACTCCACCAGCCACCACGGGGAGCCTGATTGTGCCCATAGTCATCGTTGTTTCTCCTGAAAATCCGGTTGGAGGCTTAGGGACAGCCGTCATCTCGGAGAGGTAGATTCCCATCCTTCCGAGTGTCTCTCTAAAGATAACATCTACCGAGCTCCCCGTGTCAATGATTACTCTTGCTACGTCATGATCTGTAATCGTCAGTTCGATCACCATTGGATCGGTGTGTGGCCTATCTATCCCTGCCATTTCTTCCTCGGCAGAAGAGATCACCGTGTTCGGGAGATCGGTTAGTTCGGTCAAGTTCTCCTTTGCTTTGGCTCGGCGCTAATAGGCTTTGATAGAGGACACCGTGTCTTGGTAATATTGGGATCCACCTATAATCATGTTGATCTTTTGCCTCGGCTCGGATCGCTCTTCGGGTCCACCTCTCCTATCGTGCTTGGTATTGTCACCTCGTCAGGGCGGATTTCTTGATTCAACCGCGCCATTCGACTCGGTTCCCTCCTTGGGTTTGGTGGGGGCGAGGTCCTTTTAGCTGCGAGCTTTGCTCCCAGAGTTCGGAATTGCACTGTTGAGTGCCCGTAGGTTTGATGATATTCGCAAAACGCCTTTTCGTTGTAGTTGGTGGGCCTCCTCACCCAAGTGTTGTTACGCGGCTCTCCCCTTCCGCGTCCTGCGCCTACTTGGTAGTTGTAGGCGCCTCCGCTCCTTAGTTCTCCCGAGCTCTGCATCGTCGTGTTGTTCGAGGAATTACCTTTTATTGAGGGGCGCGTCAGGATCGAACTCCGGATCGCTGTTTTTGTCGCTTCATACTGCTCGTCCAGGTTTTTCATGTCGGATCCTCTACTTCCGCAACATACACCCGCGGTGCTAGAGCAGGTCGCTTTGGTGGTAGCTGATGGCCCTTGTCATGGTCCTCTTGCTGAGGTCCTCCCATTCGTACCCTACAGTTTCTGCTAAAATGGCCCTTACATCCAGATTGGTTGCATGTGGTCTTCGTGTTAGGACAATACAACCTGCTGTGACCTGGATCTCCGAATCCAAAGCATTGTCCTCTCTCTGCTGAACATGCTCTGGTATGCATCCTTCCACACTTACCACATACTTTTATTTTGGTTGTTCCTTGAGTGACCGCACGAGTATCTTGTAACTGCGTGGACCGTCCCCTATTCTATTTGCCCTGGACTGAGCACCATTTACCATTCTTGCTTCATCCTTGATTCCCTTCTCCATTAGTGCCACTTTCTCGACGAGGTCAATCACTGATGCATAGTCCACCAGCTGACAACGGTTACGGATGTCCACCCGTAATCCCTCCATGAATTTCTTAACAAGACGACGCTCAGTCATTTCTCTCCCAGAAAATCTTTTGAGGCGGTTGAATTTCTGGGCAGACTCCCTCACGGTACGGTTTTCCTGCTCCAACTTCAGAAATTCTGATACAAGTCGGTCTTCATCCTCCTGCGGAAAATATTTTCGGTTAACCTCATGTGTGAAATCATCCCACTGCAACATATACCCCCTTGGTAGGCCCGAGATCACTCCTTCCCATTATTCATAAGCCTCGTCTCTCAGGTACTGAACTCCCAGCTAAACCTTGTACCCGACAGGACACCTGATCGACGCGAAGTTAAGCTCCAATAGCTTCCTCCAACGGTCAGCCTTCACAAAACCAGTCCCACCACTGTAAGTTTCCATGCCGAACTCCCTCATAAGCTTCAGCATCTCATGGTAGGTAGGCATCTGCGGTTGGTGGTATATGCGTCCATTCACTGGCGGTGTCACCTGTATCAGAAGTGGAGGTGGCAAATCTTGTACAATATTTCCCTGCACTGGTGGCTGACCTGCGGCCACACCTGGAACCGCTCCCGGAGCTACACCGACCGCTGGAGTCTGCCCCAACAATGGTCTAAGCATCTGTTGGAGTCCCTGCAACACGGCCGCACCTACAGCTGCACTTATGGCTGCAGTATCCACTGCTTGAACCACCCCAACTGCTGGTTGACCATTTGTAGCAACATTCTCCTCCCCGATGACGGGTACTTCTTCCTACCCGTGGTTCAGCTGCATTTCGGTTATTGTTTCCATTTCCGTTGCGATGAGTTCTCAACATCCTGAAAAATAAAACGCTCGGATCAGATCTTTCACCTAGAGATTCAAAGAAGATTGACTCAGGCCATGGTTGTTTCTTTCCTATTCTCTAACCCCCATAAGAAACAATATATTTTATTTTTTTTTAAATCCGGAATTCAAAAACTTTTTTTTTTAATGCGAAAATACGAAATCACAAATTTTTAAAAAAAAAAAAAAACTAGTTCAAAATCAGAACAAGTCCCAAAACGCCTCCTGGATCAGAACCGGTTTGGCTAACCTTACGCTCTGATACAAAATTATGACACCCTAATCTTGCAATTTAAACCTAACTTGATTTACACTCATTTAACGGCTTTAAAAAAAAAACAAATTCATTAAATATTTTTTTTATAATCTAAAATTCTTTATTAAAATAAATAAACTTGAAACTCGAAACGTCTTAACAATAAACCAAATTTTAAATAATTGAATAAAAATTCGACCATGGTCTCCACAAGCAACACCGAATCAACCGCCACAAGTACTACTCTTCAGTCTCACCTGAAAAAGAAGAAAGGGGTGAGTATTCGGAGAAAAATACTCAGTGAGGTGTGCTTATGGAGCATACATGATTCTTAGATATATTAATTAAAATAGAAATAAAGAATATGCACAATATAAGCAATAAACACACAATAACCTATTTGTTCTTAATACATTTCTACATTTCATGAAACAATCATTTCTATATGCAGTAATTCACTTTAAGTCAATCATCTTAACAATATAATATCACATTCCCAAAGACCTGGGTCTAAAGTACTCATTCTCTTTGACATTTCCTTTCATTAACCTCCGCAGCTCGTCAGCTGTTTGGCCTACTCACTGATGAATCCTTTGTGGAACCATGGCACTACACTTCTCATCATGTCATTCGTGCAACACCGTGCTCCATGGTTTAACACCCATGACACTGGCAGCAAACAATCATGCTAACACGCCTAGCAAACATCTATTTCACATAATTATGCATCAACCATATTTCAAATGCAACAAACAACAATCATATATATTACCTATATCAGACATATACATATCCCTACTTCAACTAAGGCATCTTAGGAATCCACACCTAGTCCTCACCTTAAAAACACCACAAAGACGAGTCTGGAGAGTAGAAGCTGGTATCCAAACCCTGTGATACACACAATACAAAAACAAGTGTTTCAGATTCGCATGACTAAGCTGTTTCGTGGCCGAGAAGGCAAGCCCATAACTTTCGCATCCCACCTTAGAATTGAAATCCGAAACTTGTTCTGAAATTTTGGATACAAGAGCTTCAAATTAATGTGTAGACCGTGATCTGGGTCTTTCTATATGGACGGAAAAACCTCTCTCAACTTAGCTCTACGAAAATGGTAAAAATCAGATCTGCTGAAAAAATGACTTTCATCAACTTTGAGCTCACATAAAAAAACGGAGCTCATCTCGGATTTATGATCTGCAAAATGCTACGGATTCCTTGTAGCGAGATCTTTCCAGAGGTATAAAGATTGGCACCTAGATCAATCTGAGTTGCTGGCAAACGACTCAACAATACCCTCACTCAGACAAATTTTAAACTGATGCTGCAGAAGTTATTATCAAGTTTCACTGCGTTAACTCTGTGTGGCTCTCAGAAGAAAGTGGCAGATCTTTATATAGGGAGGGGGTCGAGCTCCTTAGATCTAGAGTGGAGGAGAAATGACAAAAATCCCCGTACTCACACTTAGGCTTTTATTTGCTTCTCTTGAGTTTTGGTAGATTTTGGCTCATTTTTAAAGACAGGTTTCTATAGATTGGATCGCTGGAGAAATGTCACACACTGTGATTCCAGTCAGCCCTCAATTTCAAGACTGAGCGGTGTCTTCAGGTTTCCAGAGGGGAGCCAAGATAGAACATGCAGAGAATCAATCAAAAGCAGGAAACTACAAGCAAACTCGACGCTCTCAACCGGCCGTTTTGGGAGAGTTACAGCACTCAGGATCCAATTTCAAAAATCCTAATTCCAAAGAAGCCTTCTCCAGAGATCAAACCCCATATCCCTGTTAACCAGAGACGCCAAGTAACCCGCCGGAAAGAGTACCAACCTGACGAGAACCACACGTTTCCTCACCGTCCTCACAAGCTAACTCACAGCTATCACTTTACCATCCACTCCAACCACTAGTTATAATAATATCAATCTCTGAATCTAAAATTCTAAACCCTAAAAGTAAATTGCTACAAGAAAAAAAAAAACACATGTCCCATAATAGTTAAATAGATAGTAAAATCGTCCAAATTTATCCAAAAATAACTCATAAATAATTTGGTTGCTTTTCGTTTGCTGATTTGCTGTTTTTTTAATTTCTCTTGAATTTATATTTCGTTATTTCGTTAAAATTTGGGTCTTCCACTTTTTTACCATATTGAATACAAATACACTCTACTTGCATTGTCAGAGCCAATCTGGCAGGATCAGTGTGAACCGTCTAAAATCAAAAATCCTTTCGAAACCTTAAAAATAGGGTCTACTTGCATTGTAAGTCTAGAAAAACACACAAGTAGGAAAACGAAACCAGAGCTTCAGCTTTTGATTCTAACCCATGCTTTTTGATGACAACATTTGAAGACTTTTATTGCAATCCAAGCAAACTTCAATTTCCTGGGTTCAAGACAAAGCAATTTTACTTTTCTCTCCTTTTTCTTCTTAATTCAAATAAAAAATATCAAATTTCTTTTTCTTTTTCTTTATAATATCCTCTTTTGTCTCTCTTTCTTGTCTTGCAGTTCACTTGAAACTCACTATGTTCTGTCTTTGACATATAAGCATATATAGCAGAGCAGGTTTCACAACCCAAACAACTACTTACCCCTCCAGTTCCTATAGCTCAAAATCTTTTCTATCTCTACCTTTTAATATCAGCTTCCAACTTGAAATTTGGATAAAGAAACTGCTATGGAGAAAACTGCAAAAATAAAGCATTCAAAGGATAATGATGATGATAAGGTTCACTTATATGGCTAGTCAATATTTAGCATATTCTTGATCATTGTATGATAATTTTTCTTCAAGCTAACTACAATCATTTTCTATATACGTCTAGCAGCATCACACTAACGAAGAGCATGAGAGCATAATCCTAAACCCTAACTTTGAAGACGGCCTCAACAACTGGAGTGGAAGAGGGTGCAAGGCTATCTTACATCAGTCCATGGATGGAGGGAGAATCGTTCCACTATCGGGACACTTTTTCGCAGCAGCAACAGAGCGTAAAGCTACATGGAATGGGATTCAACAGGAGATTTCTGGAAGATTCCAGAGGAAGCGTGTCTACGAAGTAACAGCATTAGTTCGAATAATTGGCAACAATGTCACGAGTGCAACAGTACAGGCGACTCTTTGGGTCTTAAACGCAAACCAACGTGAACAATACATAGGCATTGCAAAGTCTGTTCCACCTTTTTTTTTTCTTTTTTTTTTTCATCTGTTTCATTGCTTAACATGAATATCTTGATAAATTCATTGAACTGAGTTTGGTATGTCAATGAATCATATTAGTCTGCAGGCGACTAATAAAGATTGGGTAGAGCTGAGGGGTAAATTTGTAATCCATGGTTCGCCATCGAGGGTAATACTATTCCTTGAAGGTCCACCTCCAGGAACTGACATTCTTCTCAACACTTTAGTTGTCAAACATGCTCGAAGGAATCGCCCGTCGCCTCCACCCTTCTACGAGGTCAGTCATATACCAAAAAAAATTCATAGGAACTTGCGATACCATGATATATGGTCTGGACCATGAGTCAAAATTAAAGATGAAAGATGAATGGTTTTGATACTTCAAGTGGTCCGATCAAAAGCAAAATATGGATGTGCGGTTTTGATAACAAACATTGTGGTCAAGTTCAAAACCAAAACGAAGATTCTCACATACCACTGATAGGTCTCAATCAAAAGTTTTCGTAGAAAAGTTTTCTCTTATGTCTAAGGAAGAAAATGATTTCTTCTCTTATTAGCCATATTAAACAACCAGAAAAGATAAACTAAGACTAAAGTCTAATTAGTTGATTTGGCCTAATAAGTTGGTATGGATGTAAAACATGATGGTTTTTTTCTCTTTTCTCACATCACTCTTGGTTACCAGTCATTGTCTGGTGGTTCTCATTTTTGGGATCAAGATTTATAGATAGCGTCTTGTTAGACATTACAGAAATCACATAATATTTGCATGTTCCAGATATTAGTATGAGAATGGGGTCAGAATCCTCCAATTGCAAAGAAAAGGATTCTTTTGGGGATACTAATATGTTTTATCTATATTTGTGGTGTTTTTGGCAGAATCCCAGTTTCGGAGTCAATATAGTCGAAAACAGTGAAGTGAAAGATGGGGCGACTCAACCATGGTTCACCCTAGGAAACTGCAAGTTGAGTGTTGGACAAGGCGCCCCTCGCACTCTGCCCCCAATGGCGAGAGACACACTGGGTCTTCACGAACCTCTTGGCGGAAACTACATACATGTGACAAAAGAACGCAGACTTGGATGGGTCCGGCTCAGATGTTAACTGATAAGCTCAAAATTTTCTTGACATATCAAATCTCAGCATGGGTCAAGATTGGTGTGGGCGTGAGTAGTGGTATGAGTCCTCAGAATGTGAACATTTCACTTAGCGTCGATAACCAATGGGTCAATGGAGGACAAGTTGAGGTCATCATTGGCGACACATGGCATGAAATCGGTGGATCCTTTAGGCTTGAGAAGCAGCCGCAAAACGTTATGGTTTATGTTCAAGGTCCCGCAGCTGGCATTGATTTGATGATCTCGGCATTGCAGATTTTCCCAGTGGATCGTCGAGAACGTCTCAGATGTCTCAGAAATAAAGTTGATCAGGTTCATATATAAATATATTTCCTCATTCTCTTCTTATTTCCTTAGAAATATTAATTTTGGGTATGAATGGTAACCCCAGTAAGGGGTATAAGGTTCTAGTTGGTGTTAATAATAAAAGCAAGTAAAATTGGCGGTAGTAAAAACGATTCCAACATTTATCTCGTACCGTTATCCTTTTTTAACTATTTGATTATCGCTTATTCTCTCTCTTTCCGCTAAAATAATTTCACCGTTTATGTCATCAATCAAACATATTGTTTCTTGGTAGGTACGTAAGCGCGACATCGTCTTAAAGTTTTCAGGACTAGACGACTCCTGCGATTTGTTTCCGTACATAGTGAAGGTTAAACAAACATACAACAGTTTCCCAGTTGGAACATGCATTAACAGAACAGACATAGACAACGAAGACTTTGTAGATTTCTTCACAAAGAACTTCAACTGGGCAGTTTTCGGAAACGAGCTGAAATGGTACTGGACAGAGGCCGAACGCGGGAAGCTCAGTTACCAAGATGCAGACGACTTGTTAGATCTATGTATCGGCAATAACATCAACGTTAGAGGACACTGCATTTTCTGGGAAGTTGAGTCCACGGTTCAGCAGTGGGTTCGTCAGCTGAACAAAACCGAGCTGATGAATGCGGTCCAGAAGCGACTCACAGATGTCCTAACACGATACAAAGGTAAATTCAAGCACTACGACGTAAACAATGAGATGCTTCATGGTTCCTTCTACCAAGATAGGCTTGGAAAAGGTGTAAGAGCATTGATGTTCAACATTGCACGCAAGCTTGATCCATCTGCTTTGCTCTTTGTGAATGATTACCATGTCGAGGACGGCAATGACCCACAATCATCCCCGGAGAAGTATATCAAACTTGTTCTTGATTTAGAAGCACAAGGAGCAGCCATAGGAGGGATTGGGATCCAAGGACACATAGATAGTCCTGTTGGAGCCATAGTTTGTTCTGCTCTTGATAAGCTCTCTGTTCTTGGTCATCCAATCTGGTTCACAGAACTTGACGTCTCTTCTAGCAATGAGTACGTTAGAGGAGAAGATCTTGAAGTCATGATGTGGGAAGCATTTGCGCACCCTGCTGTTGAAGGTATCGTTTTTTCATTTACTTCAATACCTCCATTTTTTTTGGTGATTTATTTTTAGTGCCAGAGTTTGATGTAGTTACATGAGATCGATTTATGAAACTCTTTATATATTGAACATATACACAGAAATGACCTCATCTTTTCTAAAAAAAAACGGACCTCATCTATAATTTACATTTTCGAATTACAGTACCAAATAACCATAGGTCTTTCTAATTTGTAAAATTTTTTTTTTACGAAAATATGAGGTGCATTCTATAGCACCATTTTTTTTAAAACAAAAAATCATGTTGTTTCATCTGATGACATATTATGTTACATAATATCATTTTTTCTTCTAATAAACACTCGTAATAAAAATGCACCATGTATTTATAATTTATACAAATGCCACCGTGTATTTTCCACCAAAACCACTATTTTTGTGTTTTGAAATTTGATTTTTCATCACTACAGTAGATATATGATCAAATTTACCTTCGCTTTTTTTAAGTACATATTATATGGGATTCCTAATAAGATGCACTTAAACATTGACATACATATTTCGTCTTAACAGGAATTATGTTATGGGGTTTCTGGGAGCTATCTATGAGTAGGGAGAACTCAAATTTGGTGGAGGGAGAGGGAGAAGTAAATGAAGCCGGAAAAAGATTTATGGAGGTGAAACAAGAATGGTTATCTCATGCCTATGGGGTCATCAATGATGAATCCGAGTTCATATTCAGAGGCTATCATGGGACTTACGCCATCGAAGTTTGTACTCCGGCTGGCGTTGTTCTTCAAACGTTCATCGTCGAAAAAGGAGACTCTCCATTTATACTCTCTATTGATCTATCTTCTTTGTGATGTTTATGTTTCTTTTCCCTCTTTTTCCATTGTTTCTCTTATATATGTTGGGGATTTGTTCTACGTGGAGCACGTAACATATGTAAACATATTATGTTATGTTTTGTTTTTGATTGTCTAGTAAAACTGCAATAAAAGCATGTAATTATGTTCGCAAGAACCTCTCTATCCTAAAAAATGGCCTCTTTCTTTGGAAAACCTAGCCGTGGTGGGCCTGGTGGCCACCGCGATGGTTCTTAGACAAATGGCTAGGAAAAATGGAAAACTGATAGAACTTGTATCAAGAACTCTCGAGATCTCTCTGTAAATTTCCGTATATTGAATCAATGAAGAAGAATTACAAGAAATATAGTTGTGGTGTATTATTCTCTATCTGCACTCTCTCATCGCGAGCATAACAGAATCGAGTACAAGCTCATGACGCTTGAAAAAAAACACACAAACAACATAATATTCTCCTCTAACAGAATTAGCTATTTATAGTTGTTGAGCTGGCTACTTCTCACGCGCTTTCAATCTTCACGCATCAACAACCTCCTTCCTCTCTGAGTTCCTTATCCTCTGTCTCTGATAAACTCTGAGTGGCTTATTGGCTCTATCAAAAACCCTCCTTAAATCACCATGAGATTCCTTTCCCGTCAAAACTCTTTCATCACTCAACCCATTTATCTCACACTCTTGCTTCAATACATATTGCGTCAGAGAAGCCAGTTCTGCCTCTATTGGAAGAATTGTAACCCTCCTCCGCCACCTATTGCCATTGATTCTTAATAAGTATGGCTTCACTAGTATGCTTCGATTTGGGTGAGCACTTTACCACAATTCCAAATCAAGTAATTGAAGAAATAAATCATTGTGCAATGACTGTGGTATAGCTGTTCTATAGAACAACTCTCTCATATGGAAAAATCAAAATAGTGGTTAACCTCATATGGAGCAAATGAAATTAGACTCAATTAATGGGTCACTGGAATAGATACACCAAGATCATCAGCGTATCTGCTCAATCACACCAATCTCCATCTCCATTGGTTCCTCCCCTCAATTGATCTGCTTTCACTGCTTCGTATCTGCTCAATCACACCAATAGCCAATTTTGGAAGTGCTTTTTCCGGCAATCGTGGAAGCTCCAGAAGGCGATTTACATACTAATGTGAAGCTACTTGTGTCATTTTTCCAGAACAACCTTCTGATCTTCTTTCCAACTTTTGACCAGGGTGTTCTCGACGTTTTCCTATCGAGTATCAGATCTGTTCAAAGGCAAACTGGATTTGCTATTCATCATCAAGTGGAAAAGGTAAGGACTAGTTTGTTGATTCCTATAATATATTAGATGAATTAATAATACTTTTATGCTTGGTATATGGATTCGATATGATTGATAAATGCTGATTGACAATTGATGATTGATGAGTGATTGCTATGTACAAGGAGTAATGATAAAGACATGTGATTTATTATGAAGTATCAACTTGCTAGGGTATTAGATTTATTATGTGATAGCATACATTGAGGAAATGAATATTGTGAAGTTGTAGTGATCGATAAATTGTTTAACGGTCTATAGTGACGGACTGAATATTGTGAAGCTGTACTGATTGAGAAAAAGCTGACGAGCAATAGTCAAATTGATGTGGACATCGACCCTAAGACCTTACCGGAGCTAATGCCATCAGTCCAAGACGGGGCCATGACACGCTCCAAGATTAAACAGGTCAGAAATATATACAAGAGGGCTTTACACATCTTTATCAACTGGCTAGAACCAGACGATCCATTGCTGCCCGACTTGAATGTCATATACGGCTTAAACGACCTAGGCGGCCAAACCGGGACCGAACACTTAGGAGACAGGAATGACCCACGAGACGATCCAGTCTCCCAGGCCTAAACGGGTATCTCTCGACCAATTTTTGATTTAAATGCTAACAGTCCGAGCAGAGTTTCATTTTCAGGTTTAAAACTTGAAGAACTAAGGGACAATTCAAAAATAGCCGATACGCGAGAACTTTTGGCCGAGACGCGGGAATTTTTATCCAAGAAATTAGGATCACCTCGGCAAGTCCAATTTGACTATGGAATTTGTCGTACTGAAGTTGACATCACTCGACCAAAATCACCAGCTGAATCCATCGCTCGAGACAGAAACAAGTTTGCCCGAGCGGATAACGAGATTGCCGAGGCCATGCAAGATTTAGCCGATGATTTAAAGACACCCGGGTTAGAACTACCAGACGGCGTGGAAACCTCCAACAAAGGTAAGATCTCTCGCCCAAGTCCATATTCTGAAGCTAACAAACGTGGAATCTTGCCCCACCAACGAACAGATTTGGAGCTGCTTCACAACACACCACCCGGGCCCGAGAAAGACCAAGAAGACCAACAAACTAGGACGGAGCATCAAGACTTGAAGACAAAGACTTGGCCATAATGGAGAAGCACTTAGAAGACTTTACAAGAAGGTTTCAAGCTAGAGACGCCACAGTTTCAAGTTCGGCCTCCACAGCCATACAAGCGGCCAGCCGGAAACCTCCACACCAAGGTAAGCTTTTCAATTATTATATTGTCATTGCAGGTGATCTCAGCCCCCACAACGGCTAAGTACTACATCAAAACGACGTCAGTAGTTTAGTTTAAAGAGTCTTAAGCGAACTTTCCATTTTTGTATTAAATGAAACGATGAGTTGATGATTTTGTAGACTAGGTTTGTTTCTTGTTATTTTCTTTCAATGTCCTGTCGTTTTGAGTCTTTTCTTCTTTGAGTCGAACCCTAGAAAGTTCAGGCTAACGGACTATTTATAAAGTCCCACACACAGCTTTGTAGTAACCAACCTTTTTCCCATCATCAATAAAAGAACGAACTTTCTTCTAAGTTTTTGAATGGAGCTTTAAAAATGGTGAAAACAGCCTTTTGGAGGTTATCGTCGATAGCCTATATCGCGGGAAGCTTTTCTCGGCGATTTTCATGTACTGCAGGTAGATCTCTCGGCCAAAACATGTACTGGCTGTTCAAGGTTCTCGGCCAAAAATCTCGTGTGCAGATACATCTCCGAAATCACGTTACCGGAAGGTCTTGCCGTCCGATTCAGCTTACTGGGTCTTCAGCAAAGTTGGATATGATAATGTCACGGTTCTATAACAGGTAGAATCATTGGATTTGGAGTCGTGAGATGAGAGTAAAGCTCACCGGAAGACACACCTGTCTCACTACAGTTTCAAGACCGATCCGATGAGTCACAAAGTTTGCGTGGGATGATGCCTTTCCATTCTGATTCAGTTGCCGGGGCCTTCATCAAGATTCAAGGTCTTTGTGTAATATTTCCAGAACATCTGAGATCATCCAGTTTGGAGCTATGTGCTGAAAGATATCATCTCCGGAGTAATCAGTGTTCAAAGAGCTTCTTTTTTATCGTTTCAATGCGCTGCAGAGATGAGCCGTCCGGGGAACCTTCAATTTCCCAATCGCTGAAGGTGTTTTCACCAAAGTTTGAGATATTTGAGTGCTCTTTCTACTGAAGTTTGAATCAGTCCATTTGGATCCATATCTTGGAAGTTACCCTCCCCTGAATGTGAAGTGGTCCGAGGAGACTTGGATTGTGTGAGATGGTTCTGCGTCTTGGTTAACTCGCAGCGCCTAAAGATTAAATTCTGGAAATGAGCTGCATGTGGATATGTGTGGGTAAGACAACCCTGAGTGAGACCAAAGACCCCCGAGCAGGAAAAATGCTAAGTTCACAAGCTGTGTGACTTAGGCATGCGAGTGGCCGAGCAAAGAACTGAACCGCACAAAGACTCGCGGTTTACACCGACTTGGGCCTGCGACTTGGGAGTGAAGTAGACCATCTCGCACACATGTTTGAAATCCTATGCTACATGAATGTGTGAGCTAGAGAGCAAAAGAACCTGAATCGCACAAACACTCGCGGTTTACACCGAGGGAGGAATGCGGCTTGGCTTACAAAGTTCTATCTCGCTAAAGCACCTTTCCAGACTTGTGAGAGTTGGGCATGCGACTTGGAACTATAGATGACCAACTCGCACACATATTCTATCCAGAATGCGTCTTGGTTGTGCAAGTTGAAGAGAAGAAAGCCTGAACAGCACAAACACTCACATTTAAGCTAGAGTGAAAAGTTTAAGCTAAGATCTTATCAAATTTACTTTCTAGCAATATTTTAAATCGTTCATACGCCAAAGAAAACTTCCCTGAAACCCAGCACCTTCTTTCTATAGATTTACATCAATTTTCATTCAAGCTTTAGTCTAATATTTTTACTCTTTCTATCGTTTTTCATTTAAGCAATTAGGTTTAGCCGTTTTTTTCTCGTTTTTAGCAGATTTCATTAAGTTTAGTTAATAGGTCATTTTAATTCCCGTATTTTCTCGTTAGGATTAGTTTTTACGTTTTAAAGACACCACCAAAACCCTTATAAAGATCGCCTGGTTCTAGACTTCCTTACTTTATATTTCTTTCGAAGGCTTTTGCAGGAAAGATCCTCCTTCCCTGTGGATTCGATCCCTAAGTACTACAATCGATCAGCTGTGCACTTGCGGCTATTGATTTCATTTAGGGTAAAACTTGACACCCTCACGACACGACACATCAGCCAGGCCTTTGACAAGGCTTCTTTGCAAGGAGGTGGACTTTGTATTTGATGAGGAGTGCATGGAGGCATTTCTTAAGATCAAGCAAGCCTTTGTGAGTGCACCAATAGCTCAGGCTCCTGATTGGACATTGCCCTTTGAAGTGATGACAGATGCTTCAGATTATGCAGTGGGGCAGTCTTGGGTCAGAAAAAGGATAAGAAGTTGCATGTGATCTACTATGCAAGCAGGACCTTGGACTCAGCACAAGAGAAATATGCAACAACAGAAAAGGAGATGTTGGCCATAATTTTTGCATTTGATACATTCAGAAGCTACCTTGTGGGTTCAAAAGTTGTTGTGTACACTTATCATGCCCCTCAGATATCTCATGACTAAGAAGGATGCCAAGCCTAGACCCTTGAGGTGGGTTCTTCTCTTGCAGGAATTTGATATGGAAGTGCAAGACAAGAAAGACATTGAGAAAGGAGCTGCTGATCATCTTTCTAGGCTGAGAGTGGAATCAGATGTCCCTCTAGATGACTCACTTCCTGAAGAGCATCTA